TCTTTCATTCTGTTTCCTAGTGTAGGGATTTGTGTTGGCGTCACATGGATAGGTCATTTGTGTGTGTGTGTATTACTGACATTGTGAGAGTTTAAGGGGTCCAGAGCTTGGTTGGTTGCATTTAGTTGGTTGCAATGTGACTTGTTTGCATGTGTTGGGGGTAGGTTGTTGGGTTTGGTTAGCCATATTGATTTGTATGCTGTTGGGTGCGGGGATAGGTCTTTGTACTGTTGTGCTGTGTATGTGATAAAGGGGAGCTATACTGAGGCGAAGGCATCCTTCCTTGCTTGTCCCCATGCTAACCTAAGTTCCAGTAGGGTGGTTTCCCATCCATTTTGGTCCCAGTGGTCTATGTTCACTCCTCATAAGTCCTTCCAGTGTCTAGTTGTGATGTTTCTAGCTGCTGAGAGTAAGTGATTTATGAGTTCCTTGTCATGTGTGTGTGTGCTTTGTTATCCTGGAAGATAGGTATTTGATAAGGCTAATTCTGGAGTTGCTTCTATTACCTGTTTGGTTATTTTGGAGATTTCCAGCAGCACTGATATGTCAAAGGATGAGATTTTCCCCCACGCCTGAGAATCCTCTAAGCCTCCCCCCCAACTCAGACACACCTGCTCACTCCATGCCTCATTTGTCTTGAAGAAGTCAATGGTGGTTACATTCTGCTCCACTGAAAACTGCATACAGTCTTACCTTGGAAGTCAAACACCTTGCGAGTCGAATGTTTTGGCTCCCAACGCCGCAAACCTGGACGTCATTGTTCCAGTTTGCTAACACCCTTTGGAATGTCCATCGCGGCCTCTACGGCTTCCAATTGGCTGCAGGAGCTCCCTGCTGCCAATCGGGAGCCGCGCCTTGGTTTCCGAATGTTTTGGAAGTTGAACAGACTTCCAGAACAGATTCCGTTCGACTTCCGAGCTGCAACTGTATTTCTGAAGGAAGAAGCTGGAAGGCTGGTGCTTTTCCCCACTTCTTTTTGCAAGAGGTAGAGGAATTACTCTGGAGCCAGCTTCTACCCAGATCCCTTGGAAAAAGCGCATGCATTTTCTCTCTTTCTGTCTCTGGTAGTTTGGGGTGGGGGAGAGAAGTGACCAGAGAAGGTGGAGCCCATGGCACTCGCTCAAAAACCCAAACATACCAAGGGGCTTAAAGACATGGGGGAGGGCTGCTTTAGCTTTACCCCACACAAATGGCTGCAAAGAAATGAGAGTGGGGGAAGTGTGGCAGCTGAGCCTCTCCTGCTCCCTTCGCAGGTGTACAGGTGTAGGCAGGATCACTGGGTTGCAGCCTGGCAACTGAAGCCAAGACATGTGCTCCAGAGGAAATTAAGCGAGCCTAGCTGTACATTTCCCATGAGCTCCCCGAACAATCTGTGGCATTCATACTGAGTCCACGTCCTGGTAATTCCGCCACCCCTCCCCTCCCCGAACAATCTAGTTCACTCTGGCGCTATGTGTTTGAATGGAAATTAGCAAAAGCTGAAAGTGTCTGCGTGAACATTTGCCTGCCTCGAGGTATTTAAAGAAATCCTCAGTGTGGGCAAGAATCGAAGAGGCACGCAGAAGCTGTATTGCAGCTCTCTTTTTATAAAAGTTACAGCAGACTGTCTCACAGAGATTAAGCAAAATGGCTCCGTTCCAGGCTCCGTTTCTTAGAACAAAAGTATCTCCCTCCAGCACTAAGACTTGATTATGCCCTCAGATATCTGTAGCACCGAACAGAGAAATAATTTATGCATGTGAAGGGCTAGCAGCAGCTTCCATGACGAACTGTTGTTCCTCTGAGATCCTTCTTCTGCTAAAAGACAAAGCATTTGCCAGATCCTCGCAGTGATTTTTTGCTTCTCAAAGGTTTCTCCAAACTGAGGAAGAAGCCTGACCGAAAGTTAAGTCCTTAAAATAATAATAATGTGCAAATGCAAACTGCTTATTTCTGAGAAAGCCCTCTTTGTGAGCTCTGTACTTAGAAGCTTTTTGCCAGCTAGTCTGCCACTGTGGCACTAGATTTAGCTTTGGTTTAATGCCACGTTCCGCAACCAGATGCCCTGGACTAAAAGGTCTTGGAAGCTTTGGACTAAAATGTCCATCATCCTTGACTAGGGTTGATGCCAGGGGTGATGGGAGTTGTTACTCAGAACACTCATAAGGCATCAACTAATCCAGAATGCGGCAGCTAGACTGGTGACTGGGAGCGGCCGCTGAGACCATATAACACCGATCCTGAAAGACCTACATTAGCTCCCAGTACATTTCCGAGCACAATTCAAAGTGTTGGTGTTGACCTTTAAAGCCCTAAACAGCCTTGGCCCAGTATACCTGAAGGAGTTTCTCCACCTCATCGTCCAGCCCAGACACTGAGGTCCAGCGCTGAGGGCCTTCCGGCCATTCTCGCCCTGCGAGAAGTGAGGTTACAGGGAACCAGGCAGAGGGCTTTCTTGGTAGTGGCGCCTGCCCTGTGGAACGCCCTCCCATCAGATGTCAAGGAAATAAACAACTATCTGACTTTTAGAAGACACCTGAAGGCCACCCTGTTTGATGTTTGATCGTATTTTTAATATTCTGCTGGAAGCTGTCCAGAGCGACTGTGGAAACCCAGCCAGATGGGCGGGATATAAATAAAAAAAAAATACTATTATTACTATTATTATCAGGCTGATCTATCCAGGCTCTTCTTATCCGATTCTTACATCAGATTTTTTGTTGTTGTTTGTTAATTAAAAGTTTATTGGCATAAACACATACAGAATAAATAAAAAAGATGGGGATGACAAATAAAAAATAAATGTTAAAGTAGACACAGATACAGAGAAGGGGGTAAAACACCAGGAAACTACTTAATATGCAATGCCACATCCAGTTGTCAAATATGAGAAGAAAAGGGTGGGTCAATTCAGTTCTCCATAAAACCTCTCCTTTAATACGAAGGAAACAAGGGTGCGTGGGAATTCTTGCCATTGAAATTGCTCATCAGTTCCAAAGTCTGCAGTGCAAAGACTCATGGTGAGTTTTCAAGGTCTGCTTGACAGCCTATATTGTGGGGACGATACACAATTCACTTGGAAGGCAGTTCATAGCCAGAGGGTCTCCACCAAGAAGCAGCAGTCACTTTTGCCTGCTAACCTAATTGATCTTATCAGCAGGCTTACAGGCAGAGTCTCTGAAGCTGATCTTAATGCAGGTTGTCCCCCATTCGTCCACATTCACTGGCAGCAGAGTTTCAGATTGTGGTCTTTATCAGCCCTACCAAGAGACCAGGGGTGGAACATGACGTATATATTCTACTACTGATCTACAGCTTCTCCCATCAAATAGAAACATATCCCTCCCCCCAACCCAAAATGCACGATCAGGATTGAATCCTGGACTTCTCACACCCTAAACAAATACCATGCAGATGGACTGAAAAGAGAATGGAACTCAAGCGAGGAGACTCCCTACTTGGGACTCAATGGAGCAACCAACCATTTTGGGCAGGAAAGCTCCAAGCTTCCATTGCATTGGGGAATTCAGCCCTTTTTCCAGCTCTGGCAAAGAAATGTGCTTAATTAACTTTAAAGGAACGTTATTCTCAAGCCAGGGTCATGTGTATTGCGTGCTCAAGAGATCAACATTCAGTGGCAAGCAGTGTTAGAAACAGGTATGAAAGTGAGGAGCTACTTGGCAAAGGGTTATGGGTGCAATGGAATGTCTAGGTGCGCTTTTTTTATAACAAGAATACAAAGCTGAAAATGAATGAGCTGCAGCTAAAATATGATGTTCATTTTTCACATGGGCTAGTCCTTCCCCTGCCCATCCCCATAATATTCTTAAGAGGGTCTCTTCTCCAGTCTTCAGAGAGCAGCTGGAAGTGGGGAGGCAGAAAAAGGTCCTCCTTTCCTTCCACTGTGCCGTTTTAATCTGAAATCTTAGGCGCAGTACTGAGCCCATAGCTCAGAAACTGCTCCTGCTAATGAAATTCCCGGTTGCAAAATGCGCCTGGAACAATGGGAGTTTCGAACACTGGTGGCAAGGTAATTCTCCCAAGTCAATTCTAAGCTAAGAAAATTCGGAAATAAAAGTTGGATTTTGTGGCTTGTAGGAACGTTGAACATTTGTAAACTACACAGACCATCTCTGGCCATTTCTGACGCTGCCCGGGGCTGATGAGAGATGCAGAACAGCAACATTTGGAGGTCCATGGGAGCTTCATTCTTGTTCTAGGGGTTGAGGGAAAAGTCTTGGGGACAGGATGCTGATAGACAGCACTTGTATTAATGTGGCAAAAACTGCCTAAGGATTCTATGAAAATAACTTATGCTTAGATGTAAATATGTTTAGGTTATATATGTTTAGATGCAGAATGGATGCTTGGGTGGAGAGTCGTAGACAACAGGACAGTGGAACAGGATCTGTAGTGCAGATGAATTTATAACAAACACTGGGAAAGTGTATTTTTCTTTAAAATATATATGTGCTGGTGGGAGACTCTTAGGAAGTTGTTTGATCTGCATGGAGAGGGGAAGATACTCTGCACATCAATGGGAACTTTAGCGGACTTAGATTAGAAGGGGACATATTTATAAATCAAGAGGCACTCCGAATTATATCTCTGTATTACCACAAACCTTTGGATTGATCAGGTAGGTGTGTGTGTAGGTTGATGCTGACAGCTATAACAGGAACGACATAAAAACGCCTTTTAAAAATATCCCTAATATTTGTTGGGGCAGCACGCCTTGGGGACTGCAATAAGGGTGGGGTGAATGTGATATGTAGGGAAACTCCGAAGATTGCAGCCGGAGCTTCACTCAGCCATAGCATCGCCGGCTCCCCAATCTCCAACCAGAGGCGTCTGCCTTTCCGTGCGTGCCCGCGACTGCTCGCTCCGAAGCAGCAGTGGTGCCAAGACGAAGCGTGCGCTAGGACCCGGGGCCCGCAGCCTGGAAAGGAAATGTTGATTTTTGACAGAGGAGAGAAATCCCCTCAGTGCTGGCTGTGAGAAGAGAGAAGTGAAGTCAGTCACCTGGCGGTGAAGGACAGTAAAACAGGAGAGAGGGGGGCGAGAGAGAGAAATCTCCCCCCTCCCCTACTCTTCTCTTCCTCTCCCTGCGAGAGATCCTTCTCTCTCTTTCCCACCCCCCTTCCCCAATCAACCCGGTTTTAACTCTGTTTAGTCTAACCTTCAGGAGAGAGAGAGGGGGAGGGAGGGAGAGCGTCTCTATATCTCCCCCGCAGACTTTCTCTTCTCCTTCTCCCCTTCCTCCCTTCCTCCCTCCCTCCCTCCTCCAGCTCCCTTCCCGCCAGAGCCTCCGCACAACAATTGGGGCGTCTATATGCAGGACTAAGCGGTGAAAGCTCGAGAAGGGACGGCGGCGGATGCCCGGCACTCGCTCGCTCTCCCGGGCGCCCGCGGGGAGCTGGCCAGGGTAAGCATGCCGGGCAGCCCCGCGCTGCGCCGCTGCTCTTGCCGGGCGCTCGCTGCCTTCTCCGGCTGGGCGAAGGAGGCGCAGCACCAGGAGACGCTCGCTCGCCGTTTTGCTGCATTGGTGCCGTCCGGGGGAAAGGCAGGCGCCGCTGTTCGCCTCGGCTGCCAGCGAGGCGCCGCTGCCGGCTGCTGAGGCGGCGGCCGGGGAGGAAAGCTTTGGCGGAGAGGATTCTCCTCGGCGTCCCACCCCGACGGGAAACCCATCTTCTTCTCCCCGCCCCCCTCGATTCCTTCGCCTCGGCACAGGACAAGATCCGGGGGCTCCCAAGATCACCTGTCGCTTCCTCCCCCCACCCCGGTCGCTAAGGGAGGTGTGTGTGGTTTCCCCCTCCCCATCTCCCCACCCCAAAAGGAAAGATTGAGAGGAAGGGCCGGGGCATCTGATTCCCCTTTCCACATTTGTTGCTTTTGGGAAGCCTGGGAGGCGGCGCGCTTGGCGGAGGATGCCATTGACTCGAGCCGCCCGGATTGCCAGGGCAAGGCTGACTTCGCGTTGGAAACGGAGCGCCGAGAACCGATGACTGGCTGGCTCGCTCTCGCTCCGAAGAGAGAGGAAGAAATTGGCACAACTTCTCTGGTGTTTTCCTCTTCCTCCGCCACCTCTTTTTCTTCTTCTCCTCCTCCTCCCTCCACCTCGCCTCTTTCCCCACCTCCGTGGCGTTCACTTTCGGTCTATGGAAAGAGCACCCGATCTGGACATTGAAGAGCTCAAGGTACGTGTGATCGTCTTTCCCCCCATCCCCCCGCGTTGAGAGAGATGGGAGAGCGTGTGTGAGCGATTGTGAAAAGGGGGAGAAAGAGATATGCCTCTCGTGGTGGTGTCTTTTGCTCAGGCTCAGCCCGAAGGAGTTGGAGGCGCTTTCTGTTGCCGGTGCGCGGAGATGCCGGGTGTGGGGGTATGGGAAGAGAAGGGTGGGCATGGAGGAGCGCAGCCCCGTCCGCCGGCCCCTACAGGAGGAGAAGAAGAAGGAAAGAAGAAGAAGGGGGGGGGAGAGGAGGAGGAGGCTCTGGTAGTGGGGAGAGGGGGAGGGGGAAGGAGGAGGAGGACGACGACGGGCGCTGGAGATTAGATGGCAAAAGCCCGGCTGCGCTTCTCCTCTTCCCTCCCCCTCTCCCTCCCTCTTCTGCGCCTTCCTAATCATGATCCTAATGATAAAGCGCTGCTTCCTCCCGTCAGTTGCATCAGCACTTCGGACAGCGGCGCGCCGGGTCTGTTAATCATCGTCCGCCGGAGGAAGAGCTGAAAGGTGGCTTCCCATTTCACGCCGCCGCTGTTCCTTCCTCAGCAAAACTTCCCTCTCAAAGCTCCCTCCCTCCCGATTTCCAGCCTATATAGCCTGTTGGGAGAATGATCGGGCGATCTTCCTCCTTGTCTTGCACGGCTCTTGATCTATGGGGTTCCCTGCCCTCTGCGGATCCCCTCACTCTAGTCTAAAGTCTCTTCCTCCCGCTTCACACACACCCCAGAAGCCCAAGGCTCTACATTTCAGGACTACAAGCCACGCACGGCAACTATCCGGGATTTTCCAAGGATGCGGACGCAGCCACGTACTTTGCTGGGGGGAAGGGAGCTGAGAAAACTTTGCATTGGAATCGCGGAGCGGAGGGTTTTTAAACAAGCAAACTTCCCCATCCGATTTTGCCTTCTTTTAGGCTCCCTCCTTCTTAAGGAGCATGCTTGGTTGCTGGGAGCATGCGCCATGAAGCTGCCCTCCCCGTCTTGCTGGTTTAGAACCTGTTCCCTGCAAAAGGGGAGGGGGCTTCCTAGGAAGCAAAGCTGGCGGTGAAATCGGGGAGAAGGCAGAGTAAGGAGGCAATGGCGAGAGAAGGGGGAATGGGGCGCATGGGGAGAGGTGTAGTACTGAAGGGAAAATGAAAAATGGGGGGGGACTAAGGTGAAATAATGCAAATATAAGGGTAGCAGAGGATCAAAAAAGGATGAGAAGAAGGTCGTTAGAAAAAGAAATAATAATTTATGTGTTTTTTTAATTAAAAAAAATCACTGCACTGTGAATCAGACAATTTGTGTGAAAGAGGAATAGTTGTCTCACAGCCCTTTCCTTATACTGTAAAACCTTTCAGAAAGAATTATCATGTCCTTACATGTGGCAGGCATGCTATTTATTCATTCGGAGGAGTTGCTTCATTTCCTCAAATATTGAAATGCGTGGTGTGGGAACTTTGAAACTGGGGTGCTGGTGGTGGACATTTCGTGCCCCAAAACTGATTTATTGCTTCCTGTTGTTAAGGATGCATTTCCCCACATAAACTTTTACAGCTTGATGCTTCTATGCACAGTCGCCTCAGAAGGAACCCCCACCCCAGAGTTCCCTGGGAGTTACCTCCAAGAAAGCATGCATGAAAAAATGGCAACCCCCCCCTTCAAGTTGCTCAATTTCAAGAGCTTAAAGAATATGGCATTTTAATGCCAGCTCTGTTGAGATGATCGTTTGTGGTGATCATTATTGTGGTGAACACAGTTTCAAGAGCCAAGACCAGACTGTTTTGAGCTTGGTTTCTAGCTTGGTGCAATGCCATCTCACAATGAACTGAGATCCCCTCGCAGTTTGCCGCCTTTCCATCTTCCCAGGGAGCTGTGGTATGTAACGTATGTAGGGTTTGTGAACAAAGTTTTCTTTGAGGACGGCATAAGGGCACTTCCCCGCAGGGAAATGGCTCCCCGCTTTCAAAGTTCTGTGGAAATCCTAAACTGGGCTATGTCTCACATGTCTCTCCATCACTTGGGGACTGGCAGATACTTCTCCGCTGCATGTGGTCTTTCTGCAGACCACGGTTTGAGGGAAAGGGAGATGTGTTCCCATTAATCTTCCCTTGAGCAGCTCTGCAATTAAGGCCACTCTTGCAGGAGCTGGGAGACAGTGGGCGACCTTGAGGAGAGCAGCCAGGATGAAAGGGGACTCCCAATGCCCCCTTTCCCCATTCTTTGCCTTGGGTGCCTTAGAAAAAGCAGCAGTGCTTCTCAAGGGGAACTTTATACTCACACAGAAGACAGAGGAGCAATAGAAACCCACATGTCGCTGGCTTAGAGTGGAGCACATCTGCATGTTCAGGACATGTTGCCGTGGTGCTGATCTGTGAGATCCAATATGCTCATCCAGGTGCAGCTGATTCATGTGGTGCACATGCACCTGGGTTTCAGACCTGGCTGGACTCCTGCCTGTCTAAATGCTGGACATGTATGACTATAGGCCCTATGCTACCTACCTACCTATCTAGGTAGGTAGCACTTCCCCGTCAGATGGTCCTCAGGGTTCCTCCAAGAGCACTGTTTCCTATGCATGCTTCCTCTTGTGTGCCACAGTGTCTCCTGTGCCTTCCCCTGGCTGCTTTTGGGAGCCTGTTAAAACTCAGCCTTTTTGGATAGACAGCGAATACTTTTTGATAATTGGTATGCTGCATTCTATTAATCACCAGTAGGGGGTGGTGTGTATGCAAGATACCATTTTATTGAACAAGGCTAAAAAGAAGCAGGTGATGAGTTTGGGGTGTGCGTGTGGGTGTTTGTACACACAGTATATTCTGTATTATCAGCTATTTTTTAAGCATTTGCTCCAGGGTGGATTAAACGTGTAATAAATAAATCTAAGGGACAGCCAACACTTTCCTTCTCTTAGCTACTAAGCTTTGTTGGCACCCCTGCTAGTGATGCAATGTCAACTTAAAGTTGCTGGTATTATTAGAATGAGACCCCTCTTCCTTCTGCACATATGGTTGAACGCATTGTGTGTTTGGGGTGTAGAGGGCTTGTGAGCATGATGCATTTGGGCTTCTTCTATGAGAATCAGGAAAGCACAGCAAAAAAGAAGAAGCTCAGAGGCTGCTTTAAGTTGCAAAGAAGCAAATGAACTGTAGTCACTGATCTCTCCCCTACACTGATCACATTTGCAGGACAAATCGAAGTTTGTTTACTCAGAAGTAAGTCCTACTAAGTTTGATGGGACTTACTTCCAGGTATGCAGGCATAAGATTGAAGCCTAAGGTTCTAAGCTCCTTTTCGGGCAGGGGCTGCTTCTGTTAATTTGTAGAGCATGGTGTGTGTGTGTGACTGAAACTAATGCTAAGAATGGTTAAATAATATTAACAACAGCAGCAGAAGTAGGTGGTCATGCCAAGGTCTCAAAGATGAACACTTGATTTACTGATTAGCTCAGGTGAGGACAGACCTGATTGGTTTTGCGTAGTCTACTTTTTCACCCTAGAACCTGCCTGTGCTCTGCTTCTGTGTTTTACAATTACAGAACTGCTTTGGCTGGGTCAAACCAAATCCGACTTATCTTAGCAATCTTTGCAAGCAGCCCAGATACCAGAAATTTGCTGTGGCTCTACCAGTGGACCATGCCATTTCCTGATGTACCTGCAACACTAAGCTCACTTACCTGGGAGTAAGTCCCGCTGAATTCAGTGAGACTTAATTCTGAGCTGACATAGTTAGGATTGTGGCCTTAATGCTCATAATACCTATATTTTGTTGACTATCTCTATCTATCTATCTATCTATCTATCTATCTATCTATCTATCTATCTGGTATCCAGAAGTATTGCTGGCTCTAAACCTGGAGATTCTGTTAGCTCTCATTTTTGCCACCAGGGCATAACTTTGGGGCAAATGCCAGAAAGACCTCCAAATGCAGCAGGGATGGCTTACCACATTTTGAAGCAAGCAGAGGAATAAACAATATGATTAAAAGGATCTGAAATTACATAACTGCACCACTGTTAGCCACCATGTCTAATAGACATATTCTCCATGATAGTGCCTAATCTCCTTAGAAAGCCTTCACTTCATCCAGTGGCCCAACCCTCAAATTAATTAATTAATAATAATAATAATAATAATAATAATAATAATAATATCTTTATTGTCATTGCCCCCTCTCGGGGATAACGAAATTACTTGGCTGCTCCATCCACCCAGGTAGGGCACTCCACACAAAATCAAAACAACTATAAAAACACTAATTAAAACAATACAGTATAAAACAGCAAGGAAGATTAGATGACTTTCAAAGTCCAGGCTTCCCATTCAGGGCCGAGATCGCTCTGGGGAAGAAGCTGTTCTTAAGACGGCTCGTTCTTGTCTTCATCGTCCTGTATCTCCGTCCCGACGGCAGGAGCTCGAAGAGACAGTGACCAGGATGCGATGGATCTTTTACTATGTCCAGTGCCTTCCTATGGCACCTTGTGGCATAAATCTGCTCTAAGGTGGAGAGTGGGCAGCCAACAATGCTCTCTGCTGCCTTAACAATTCAGCACAACCCCAACCTGTCCTGGGTAGTACAGCTTCCGTACCACACACATAAGCCATAAGTGAGCACGCTCTCAATGGCACAGTGATAGAAGGCAAGCAGCAGTTTCTGCGGAAGATGGTTTTTCCTTAGAATTCTCAAAAAGTACAGTCTCTGCTGCGCCTTCTTCACAAGCCCCCTTGTGTTTGACACTATCTCTCTCTTTCCACGACGCTCTAGGTGAAGGATGTGCTCTTCTGTGTCTTCACAATAACCTTGTGTGGTAGGCTTGGCTCAAAGATGCAGTGACTAGTTGAAAGTTACCCAGAAAGCTTCAAGGGCAAGTAGGCAGTTGGTTTTTAATTCAAAATATTTTTATCCCACTGTCCCACATTTATTATCAAAACGGCTCATCTTTTTTTAAGAAAACACACACAACAGCAGCTCACTTCAGTAATAAATAATAC